CCCCCCCCCCCCAGATCTGAAGGTTGACATTTGAATCCCTATTTGAATTTTGAAAATGGCCTGAGTTACTAACGGGGTGACCCTGACCCCTCGACCTGCAAGGCAGTGTGTACCAAAACCAGATCTGCATTTGGCAGCTGGTCCCATTTCTAGGCATGTGTCACTTCCACTGATGTGAGGCCACCGCCTCTTGCTGCTAGATTTTAGCTTTGGAGCAGGGCTGGGTGTGGGGAAGGGAAAATCTGATTTGGTCCAGCGGTCTCCACCCTGAGCTGGAGTTACTGTTATCACTTATCCAGTTACTATTCTGATTGATATCGATCAATACATAATGGGATTGCAGCTGGCAGGCATCAGCATGGTGATACGTCACAGAGTGGCACTCCCTGGTGCTTGCGGATCCCAGCCCAGAGGCAGAGCAGGGGATGGGCTTCTTCCCCAGGGTGTGCCCAATGCTTGGCTGCATCTTTGGTGTGCAGATGTTGTTGGGATGATGCTGACTAGAGGCAGTGATGTCTAGTAATTAGAATAGGGAGGCTGGGATTTGGGTTCTATTCCCAGCACTGCTACTGGGTCATTCTGCTTGTGTCACTGTGCCTCAGTTTCCCCATATGCAAAAGAGAGGTAATGAGACTGCTGTACATCACAGGGAGGCTGCAAGTATGAATTAATGACTGTCCAAAGCTTGGAGTGTTTGTGCTCCTTGGCTGGATGGCAGCAGAAAGATATACAATGCCACACGCACTATTCACATTTCTCCACATACCCTGACACTTTCCACTGCCGAGCTCTTTTTTCATAACTCAGCTGGAGAAACTCCTGACCTGGATTTTGGCAGGAAGTCTCAAGGCCACTGCGGCATAGAGGGGATGCAGTTCCGTTGGGGTAAATTAGGTCTTCAGTGCATGAGCACTTTTCACCAAGCAGTTTCTGCACTGAGTAAAGCCCAGCTAGGTCTGGGTGCTAACTCCCCAGATGGTCTCGCCTGTTTCTGAAGCACAGTTTAGGACTGGGAGCGTCTCTGGTAGAAGAATGGGCAAACTTCCTCGTCTGTATTGCACTGACTATTCTTTGCATTCCAAAATCTGCAGGTCTGCTTGTCCCCTGCCTGTCCTTTGCATGGCCATTTATTCCCATGTAAATCGGGGTAAACCTGCTCCCCGCTCATACCTCTCCAGCTACACACTTGAAAGGCTCCAGTGGCACAACTGCGCTGCTGCAGTGCTTCCGTGTAGACACTACCTACACCAGCAGGAGGGGTTCTCCCATCACGATAGTAGCTCGATCAGTGGAAGAATCCTTCTGTCAACCTAGCGCTGTCTGCACAGGGACTTAGGTCAGCTTAACTATGTCACTCGAGGATGTGGAATTGTCACCAATTGTCTAGTGTAGCCCAGCTCTTAGGCTGCTAACCAACAGTGGACTTATTCCCCTCTTGTTTACACTCATCTAAATCTGGAGCTACATCCCTGCAGTCTGAGAGCCCGATTCTCCATTTCCTAGTGGGTGTTAACACCAGTGGGAAGTCAGCAGAGCGGGTACAGAAAGCCATCATTTGGATTTGGGAGCAATTTTCATTTTGTCAATGCTCACAATACTTGATGTTTTTGGATTTTGTGGGGGGCGGGGGTCTTCAAGCCCCAGCTTCTGGAGTCATGTGAGAAGACACTTTCATTTAAAAAGAAAAATCAGTTTATATCCTTTATGGTAGTGGAAAAAAGCTTGTCAACATAGTGACAGCGCAACCTAGCAGCTCAGAAGCAAAAAGCACTTAGAACCACCCCCAAAAATGTAAGGGGGGTTGTTTGCTTATTCTCATGATTTTTGGATGCTTGGAGCTGACCATATTCTGCTGCACACCCACAGTTTCCATGGTTCCAGATATCTGGTTAAGGGGCAGGGCAATGGGGAACCAGGGGCTATGCAGTGAAACTGGTGTGAGAAGAGAATTAGCACAGTGACCTTTACAAAACCTACCTGTCTATCTGAGGCCTGGTCTACACTTAAGATTGACATAGGGCTGGTCGGCACTCAGCTATGTTGCTCAGAGGTGTGAAAAATCCACCAGAGCGCTGTGGGTAAACTGCCCTAAGTCCCCATGTGTACAGTGCTAGGACAGTGAAAGGATTCCGTCCATCTAGGCAGGGCGGCTCCAGGCACCAGCTGAGCAAGCTGGTGCTTGGGACGGCAGATTGTTGGAGGCGGCATTCTGCCCAATCCTAGGGCGGCACGGCCGCTTTTTTGTTGTTGTTGTTCTTGTTCCGCTCCGGCCGCCCTGTAGAGGGTGGCGGCGCAGAGAACCAGAGCGCCCTGCAGGGCAGTCCTCTTCCTTCCCTCCCCGCCGACCGGAGCGGAGCCCTCGCGGCAGGCGGCAGCGCAGCGGGAGGGGCCGCGTGGCAGCGCCCCTGCTGTAGCCCTGGCAGCCCCCTTCTCTCTCTCTCCCGCCTGCTCCCTCCTCCTCTCCTCCCCCAGCCGGTCCCCCTGCACCCGCGCTCCGGGCGCGCCGCAGGTTGGTTTTTGTTTGTTTGTTTGTTTGTTTTGCTTGGGGCGGCCAAAAAGCCAGAGCCAGCCCTGCATGTAGGTACCGCCTCTTGGGGAGGTGGATTCCCTGTGCCAAAGGGAGAAGCCCTTCTGTTGGCATAGGTAGTGTCTACACTGAGGTGCTGCTGTGTCACTGTAACATTTCAAGTATAGAAAAGCCCCTAGCTATGTTGCTTGGGGGGGGTGAAATCCCAAGTGATTCAGCTGTGCCAACCTAACCTCAGTGTAGCCACAGCCGGGTCGACAGAAGAATGCTACCACCACTCAGGAAGGCAGTATTCCTACAGCCATGGAAAACCCCTTCTCTCACTGTAGGCTGCATCTACACTAGGGGCTTAGTGCGGTGTAGCTATACTGCTGCAGTCCCCACAGTGCTGACAAACCTTTAGGGTTTTATCCTGCGGCCCATCACCGTAGTATCTGAACGTTTTCCACATAAACTCCATAGCAATAGCCAAGTCGCTAGTGGACTTTGTGTTCTCTATGGCCCTTCTCCCTTTATGGGATCACAACTCTGCTTGTGGTAGGGTTTGGGTGTGTTAGGTTGACTTGTTTCACAAAGTATTAGTTGGTTCATTGGTAGGGGCTTGTTAGGAAGGAATATCGATATTGGGGTTTGAGGGCAGAAAGGGAGGTCAGTGTTGGGGATTTATTGGGTAGAAGGGGGGTGATGAAGTCGGAATCTTCCGTAATATTTTTATGACCCCAGTGTGTGCCTTGATTTCCCCTATATTTTCCATGGCTACCTGGCAGGGTGTGGGGGAGGACTATTTGTTCTCACAGCATGCTGAAGCCTGGTCTACACTAGAAACTATGTCGCTATGGAGTGAGAAAAATCCACACTCCTGTGTGGCATAGTTAAGCCAACCTAAGTTCCTGTGTAGACAGTGACAAAGCCCTGGCTGGGATGATTTAGTTGGGGTTGGTCCTGCTTTGAGCAGGGGGTTGGACTAGATGACCTCCTGAGGTCTCTTTCAACCCTAATCTTCTATGATTCTATGATGGAAGAATTCTTCCGTTGACTTAACTACCAACTCTTGGGGAGGTGGATTACCTACGCCAATGGGAGACCCTCTCCCATCGCCATGGGCAGTGTCTGCAGTGCAGCACTACAGCAGTAAAGCTGTGCGGCCGTCGCACACAAGCCCTAAGGCCA